TTCGACCTACTTCCCTCCACTTACTAACTTCTAACAATTCCACCAAATTCTAAATGATTCCATATTTACCTATCTTCCCACTCACTAACTAACTAGCCTTCCTTTTCCCTCCATTAATTTTCCCTATATAAATCCCTTCCTTAAATTCTAGCCCTTAGTTTTGTGGAAATCGACAGGATCGACAACGCCACTCGACCTTCACATCCTACTACCAACGCTGCTAGCGTCTCGCCTCAACACCGCCAGCGTTCTTCTGTTGAACAGCTTGTGCGGCGCCCCAGCTCGTCGTTTTACGCGTCGTTTACTCGTCATTTCACGCATCGTTCACTTGTCTTATACTCGTCGTTTTCTCTGGAGCAAAGCTCTTACTGGAAGAATAAACTGCTAGTATACTTCCCTGTCTTTCGCTGCTGCAGTCAAGGACCACGTGAGGGCCTAAAAATTGCAATGACTAGTTAATTCCCATCAAAACTTTCGTGTGCTCGTATGTGTCAGGGTTCACACTGCGATCCTGGGGTGGCACCTGGCCGGAGGACCCACTGGCAAAATTCTAGCGCCGAAGCTTGCTTGGTTGCCGAGTTAAAATACCCGGACGGACACACACACATACACACACGCATGGACTGAAAACATTTTCTGAAAATTTCAGCCTCCCAGCTTTGTCACTTCCTGAGTTTGCCATTTTCCGCCAAAAAATTTCACGGGGCTGTACGCGGGAACCAAGCACACCTGGGGACTGAATTTGAAATCTCTGAGTGTGTTTGGGGAATTTTGATCGAATTTCATTATTGATCCTCCCGCAGATTCACCTGCGGAAACCTTCTTATGACTTTTGCTCGTTTCAAGCCACTGCAATCAGCATGCACAAATTCTTTCGGCTGCGTTGCATGCGTGTGACCAAAATTTCGGGGATTTCTTGCAACAGGAAATGGTAAAGTAAAAAATGCAAAGGCCCAAGTCCCTCGTCCATTTGGTTTTAAAGACCATTTTCATTCGCATTAGCCTCAAGCCCAGTTGTAAAATTCTGTAACGCTTGAGGATTTTTTGCGAAGTAAACAAAATTTTGTCTTTGAAAAAAAAAACATTTAGAGTAAATTTCTTTTTTTTTTTACTTTCTATGCAAAATTCCCTGGTTGTGATCAAAAAAAAAAACATTAAGAAATGAGCGAATTAAAAAAAACAAAAAAAAATTTGCAGATCGTGGTCTTTTGGCGCGAATTTTTGGCTCCGAAAATACGAAGTCTGAACGACCCGCTGCCGATGAATCCAGTAACAAAATTGGATGTTTTGGTGGCAAAGCCGAAGACGATGATGGGGTATTCAAAATTTTCGACTTGAACTTGAAAGAAAACAATAGTTTCTGTTATGTTTATTTGAAATTGAGAGAATTATTTCGTGGTGGGAAAAAAACTGAAAAATGGAAAAATAGAAAAGAAAGTTAACAGAATCTTAAAATTATGAGAATTATGAAATTAGCGAACTAGAAAAAAATGTTCCGGTCCATAAAATCGTATACGTTCTTGCCATTGCCACCACTGGACCTCGTCAGTACGACGATTTTCAGTAGCCTAAACTTGAAAAAGTTTGTGGAAAAATTGTCAGCTGCACAGGAGAAACAGTGTATGATATGCATCTGATTAAAGTACCAGCAGAATAAATGCTGTAGGGAATTTTACAAAAAATTTTTCTATTGCCTCAGGTACTTTCTAAGGTACATATGGGTATTTAATTTAGTTTTGTACGATTTCTAAAATAATCAGGATTTTTTAAAGCTTTTTTTGAACGTTTTTCGTTTTAGAGGCTTTCCAAAATCGTCGAGAGTTTTTTTTTAAAAGTCCTTTTGAATGTTCCTCGGGCCAAAAACTCCTTGCCCCATCAGTGCAGCAAGCAGTTTTTCGATTCTGGAAATGCGCAATACTTTTTGTAAGAGAACTGGGTGGATTTTTTTTTTTATTTTACCAGCAATTTTGCTAGTATTTATTTAAATATGTGAATGAGCTGTTTTAGTTTTCTGATTTGCATGCTGTCAATATTGAGGATCAAAAGGGAGCTGGCTTGTTGGGAAGATTTTCGAGTTTTCGAAAGTTGCGCACACGGAAAGGTAGTAGCGATCTGGACAACAGAAGTATCGATAATGATGCAGCCGATTCGAAAACACAGGGTGAAACTTTGAACTTCGTTCCATCGAGAAATGCAAAATTTTAATTCTTTCATTTGAAGAGCATAAAAATGGAAAAACAAATTCCAAGATAAAAATGAACTGAAATTAAATGAAGTTCCGTTAGATTTTGAACAAAATTAAGTTTGTAACTTGAAAAAAGCTTGACTATACTTTGAGAATTCACGGGATTTTTGCTTGTAAACTTTGGATTTCGCTTGGAATCAAACTGAAAACATCGTGGAATTGTGAGCAGTAAAGTCTTGCATCTTCTGTGGTGCTGTTCCCAACAGCTGTAGAATAATCCAGTCTAATCAACTTTTTATTTTGCTTTTTTGCATATATGCAAATGCAAAAACGCCTATTGTTCAGAGATTGTCTGTCTGTTTGTGTGTGTGTGTCTGTATGTGCACTGCGCGTCTGTACTGATTTTTCATCCCGAGACCCCTACTAGGCTGAAACTTTGGGAACTTAATCTACATGCATTTACGGGCTTCTATCTCCATAATGGACATTTTTGCCCACGTGGTCCTCTTGTACGGGCCCTTGAAAGTTATTTGCAGGTAAGTTGCTAACTCGGAGAAGCTAGAAAGTTGGAATTTTACAAGTATGTTGCTTGTCCAGTAGGACTTGATGAGTTGAAACCCAGCCCCTAGATGCGTTTGGTCCCCACGTACGAGTCCATAAAAATTTTTTCGCGGGTAAATTTGTTAACTCGGGAACAAGAAAAGCTGGAAAGCTGAAATTTTAGGGGAATGTTTTCTCACAGTGGTGGTGGTCAGTCTCAGTTCTTTTAGCTAAAAGCATCTGGCGGAAAAACCGGTGCCGTTAGCGACAAAAACCTGCGGGGAACTGCGCATCAAACGCATCTTCGTACTGACGGTCGGTGCGTTGGCTAGTTTTTGTATTATTACGTGGCATGCAGATAAACAAGCGTTTTCAGACTGCGAGAGTTCGCCGATCTCAGCGGCAGCCAGCATTGCGAAGGCATCGGAATGTCCGGAGTCCTGCCAGCATGGAGCTTCTTGGCCGCGTCACACAGATGGTACAGACATAACCGGTAAGCAAGTGTAGATTCTGTTATTTTTCAGCTGTTTTTGGAATAGTAAAATAGAGGGATTGGACTAAGTGTCATGTGTAAGAAGACATTTTACGAGGTAGTCTGTTTTCATCCCTTAGCTGTAAACACAGACCGAACTTTGCATGCGGGTAGGAGCGGGAATCTTCAGCAGAACCTCTTGTCCGCCAAGTACTGAACAGTCGTGTAACTAATTTGCAAGACGGATATGCGAAAGAAAGAGAAAACAGAGGGGGAACAAACAGAATGGGAGAGAAGGGCAAGAAGAGGAAATTAACCTATAATACGGTCGACCATTATTTGTCAATTATGAGGAGACTCTTTTTTATGAGATTATTATGCTGACTAGGCGTTTAATTCCTGAATCATCAGGAAAGATGAATTTGCTGAGTACTGGGAGTATTTCTGTTGCAGTAATAATAATAATAATAATAA